CGCAGGGATGTAGGCCTTACACACTAAGAACGTAGGTACTCTAAAATGACGACGACGACAACGACAGCGGTACAAGAGCTTGTACAATATTTACACACGCGCGCGGGATATTTCGCACCGAACGACGTTTTCACGGCACACCAATTCCGCTCGTCATTCATCGTCTCCTTGATCACTTCGTTTCAGTATCGTCTTCTTAGACCACCTAACACTTTTATAGGTACATAGTCTGGAATACCACTCCGTGAAACTTTTTTTTTAAATTCGAATGCAAATCAGAATTTGTAGAAAAAAATTTTCAGAACTACGAACAAAACTATATTTTCTGACAATGAGTATACATATGTATGCCCAGTTTTGTTTCCGATAAAGTTCCGAAAGGCCCCGGTGGCTGATCGACCCGAAATTTGGTGAGAAGGGTAAGGGGGGTGGGTGGATTCCAAGTATAAAATATTAACTGCAACGAATCATTAGTTTCCGATATATTAGCAAAGAACTTTCAGTACTATACGCTGAACTGCGTATGCAGACGTGACTAGTGCATTGAATACTGCCTATACAAATGTCTTCGCTGTAGTGGTTGTTGTCGTCAAGTGTCGACTATGGGCTCGGTATCTACAGGGTGATGAATTTCGTCCAAATAAGGCTTATTGAACGAAGCAGCCACTGAAAGAGTGGATTTTAATCTAACCTAACCTAATCATGTATGTAATCATCTTGTCGATCAATCGAACTGGAGCACAGCGTCTAATACCGCCGAATATCTAAGCGGCCGGTAATATCAGAACAGTCATCGCTTCGCCGAAATTTTACGTGGGACACCCTATAGGTACTGAGGCCGCTACCGCTATTGTGTTATCGGCTACTCGACATTTGATGGCAACGACCACACCAGCGAAGACGGTTGATTAGTAACATCTACAGGGTGTCCCGTAACTCCTCGAACACCCGGAAATGGGGGGTTGCTGGAGTGACTCTGAACAACTTTTTCCTTTACCAAAATGTTGGTTGAAGCTTCGTTTTTGAATTATTAACGGAAACACTGGCCAATCAGAGCGCGCGTAGAGCCCGCGCCCAGGCACGGGAGCGCAGGGACTCATCCGCGCGCGATCGTGAACAAATGCGTACGCGTGACTTCTCGGTTATCGATCGCTGTCAAAAAATTTTGACTTTGCATCGCTATTCTTGTAAGGCTTAGAGAAATGGTTTTTTGCCGTCATTCCGATGTTTGTATAACAATACATACAGTGGAGGACAAAAGTATTCATATACCCTATAAAATGGAATAACCTTTTCAAAATTGGGCCAAACGACTTGAGTTTTTTTGAGAAGTTAGAAAGATTAGTTTACTAGATGACGTGTACAATTTTTTTTGAAAAAACTGCAATTAGTCGGAATCGCGAAGAAAATAGCGAAAGCCGTTTTTGCAACTTTTTTATCTGAGCTCGTAATGAAAATGTAAAAAATACGTTTTGTAGATCTATGCCAATTATACAGACGCTAAAAATTTCATCGAAATCGGTGGATGGAGACACAAGCGACAGGCATCGAAAGATGTAAGAATCTGCAGATTTATTAGAGTTCTAGGCCGAAAGTCATAAAATAGTGCGATTTTCACAATCTTTAACCGTTTGTAGCTCATAGCCGATTTCCATGAAATTTTCAGCGTGTGCATAATTGACATAGATCTACAAAACGTATTTTTTAGATTTTCATTACGCGCTCAGATAAGAAAGTTGTAAAAACGACCTTCGCTATTTTCTTCGCGATTCCGACTAATTGCAGTTTTTTCAAAAATTTTCACAAACGTCGGAATGACGACGAAAAACCATTTCTCTAAGCCTTATAAAAATAGCGGTGCAAAGTCAAATTTTTTTGACAGCGATCGATAACCGAGAAGTTACGCGTACGCATTTGTTCACGATCGCGCGCGGATGAGTCTCTGCGCTCCCGTGCCTGGGAGCGGGCTCTACGCGCGCTCTGATTGGCCAGTGTTTTTCGTTAATAATTCAAAAACGAAGCTTCAACCAACATTTTGGTAATGGAAAAAGTTGTTCAGAGTCACCCTAGCAACCCCCTATTTCCGGGTGTTCGAGGAGTTACGGGACACCCTGTATATAGGCAGCATTCAATGCATTAGTCACGTCTGTACATGTACGCAGTTTCAATGTACAGTACTGAAAGTTTTTTGTTAATATCTTGGAAACTAATGATTGGTTGCAGCTAATATTTTATATTTGGTGTCCACTCAGCCTCCTCCCCCTTCCCTCCAATTTTCGCA